AAGGAGAATAGGACCTTTCTTGACTCCTCACTCTGAATTTGGACTTTTAGCTTCCTAAACTGTTTCAGTTTGTTAAAAGCCATCCACTTTTGGCATTTCTGTTAGAGCAGTACTAGATGGCGAAGACAGTCATCATTAATTTTTGTGTGTGGTGGTAGTTGTTGATTGCAGCTAAAAGCATGCTGTTTAATAAAATGACTTTGCAAGTTTTTCTTTTCTTTTTTCAGAGAGCTGATCTCTAAGTCTCTCAGACTCCTTTAAAATAATTAAAGAAGTTGCCAAAAGCTAAAAAGCCATAATCTTCTGTGACTAGAAGTTTGAGTCTGAATGGCAAATGGAGGGGAACCATATTAACAACACACTGTGGAAGGGGACCTCTGATTGGAGGGTTTAGGTTTTCTGGGGGCCAGTGGTGGAATAGCTGGGGCAAGTGGGGCAATATCTGTTGAGAATGAAAAGAAATACAACTAACATTTGACCTACTGTCTGTTATCACGATGTGCTGGCAATTCTAAACAATGTCACTGATAATATTATGGATGGACTGTGGAACTGTGCTCCCACTGACGCTGAGGGAGGAGAGTGACCGGCCCAATGAGAGACCCATTGGAATAATTCAGAAGGGATAATTGCCATCAAGGGAAGTAGATGTTGTTGTCAGTGGGGCTCAATGTCTCGATACATCTCCTCACAAGATAATCTATTAATTATAAAGATAAAAGAATGGAGAAACCTGGTAGACATCTTAACCAAGTAGTCAAAGTCAATATCACTACTAAAGTCATATCAATATCCTATGCCCCCAGTATCATGCACCCAGAAAAGAACAAGTTCACCTTTGTATTATTCTTGTTGAAAAATCATCACCTCAGTCTAATAATAAGAATAGTAGATAGATACAAACTGATGGGTATTACACAGAACATCTGGACAGTATTCTTTAAGTGTCTGGGTAAACATATATCAAGACTGAAGAACTACCCCATATTTGAAGCAACTAATGAAGCAAGTGTTATGATGAAATGTGCAAAAATCTGGAGTGAGAAAACAAAAGGGAAGAACACGTTCAGCATTTCTGAAGCTGAAAGAACTGAAGAAAAAAAGTCAAGCCTGGACTTGCAATATTGAAGGATTATATGTGCACTCGAGGTATAGCATTGTAGGATAAATACTCCACCACAAGACCGTTTGAGCCACGAGGTCAGCAGTTCAAATTCACCAGTCGCTTCTAGGAAACCCTATGCTGGGTAGCTATGAGTCGGAACTGACTCAGTGGTACTTAACAACAACAACAATGGGGAAAATGTTGAATGGTGCAGAAAACATCAGAAGAAGATGGAATACACAGAGTCACTGTATCAAAAAGAAATGATTGATGTTCAACCATTTCAAGGGGGAGCATATGATCAAGAACTGATAGTATTGAAGGAAGAAGTTGAAGCTTCACAGAAGGCATTATTGAAAAACAAGCCTCCAGGAACTGGCAGAATACAAATTGAAAATTTTCAACAAAGTAATGCATCACTGGGAGCACTCACTCATCTACGCCAGGAAGTTTGGAAGATGGCTTTCTGGCAAATTGATTGGAAGAGATCCACATTAGTGCCATTCCAAAAAAAATGGTGACCCAATGAAAGGCAGAAATCGTGGAGCATTATTATTAATATAATATGCAAGTAAAAGCTTGCTTGAGGTAATTAAATAATGGCTGGAACAGTACATCGACTAGGAATTGCCAGAAATTCAAGCCGGATTCAAAAGATGAAATAGAATGAGGGATAACATTGCTGAAATCAGATGGATCTTGGTTAAAAGAAAAGAATACCAGAAAGATGTTTACTTGTGCTTTATTGATTATGCAAAGGCTTTCAACTATGTAGATCATGTCAAGTTATGGATAACCTTGCAAAGAATGGGTATTGCAGAACACTTGTGTTCATGAGAAACCTGTTCATAGACCAAGAGACAGTTGTTCAAACAGAACACGGGTATATGGAATAGTTAAAAATCAGGAAAGGTTTGCTCCTTGTATCCTTTCACCATACTTATTCAATCTGTATGCTGAGCAAATAATCTGAGAAGAAGGACTATATGGGAAGAATATGGAATCAGGATTGGAGGACTAACAACTGCAGATGATACAACCTTGATTGCTGGAAGCAAAGAGCACTTAAAGTACTTACTGATGAAGATCAAAGACCATAGCCTTCAATATGGATTGTACATCAATGTAAAGAAAACAAAAATACTCACCACTGGACTAATAAATAATATCATGGTAAATGGAGAAAAGAATGAAATTGTCAAAGACACTCATAGATGCAGCAGTCAAGAAATCACATGATGTACAGCACTAGGCAAATCTGCTGCACAAGACCTCTTTAACGTGTTCAAGAGCAAAGATGTCAGTTTGAGGACCAAGGTGCACCTTACCCAAGCCATGGTATTTTCAATTGTCTCATATGCATTTGTAAGTTGGACAATGGATAAGGAAGATTGTACTAAAAAATTGATGCATTTGAATTATGGTGTTGGTTAAGAATATTGAAGGTACCATGGACTGTCAGAAGAACAAACAAATCAGTGCTGGAAGAAGTACAGCCAGAATGCTCCTAGAAGCCAGGATGGTGAGACTTCATCTCTCATACTTGAGATATTTTTAGGAGGAACCTCGAGGACATCATGTTTGGTAAAGTGGATGGTCAGCATAAAAGAGGAAGACTTCCAAGGAGATGGATTGACATAGTGGCAGCAGTAATGGCCTCAAATGTTACAACTGTGAGGATGGCACAGCATCCGTCAGTGTTTTGTTCTGTTGTGCATAGGGTCACTATAACTTGGAACTGATTCGATGGCACCTAATAATAATAACAATGAGAAATAAAAACAAAATGCAATATGGAATCCTGGACCAAGATCTGAATTCTGAGCCTGTACATGGACATTATTGGAACAACTGGCAAAAAGTAAATTAAATGATCAGATTGGTTGATAACACTGTACTAAGAAGAGAATACTAGAAAGATGTTTACTTGTGCATTATTGACTATGCAAAGGCTTTCGATTGTGTGGATCATGACAAGCTATGGACAACATTGTAAAGTATGTATATTCTGGAACACTTAATTGTGCTCATGAGGAATCTGTACATGGACCAAAAGGCAGTTGTTTGTACAGAATATGGGGGCACTGAATGGTTTCAAATTAAGAAAGGTCTGCAACAGGGTTGTATTGTTTCACCGTACTTATTCAACATGTATGCTGAGCAAATGATCTGAGAAGCTGGGTTCTATGAAGAAAAACGTGCCATGAGGATTGGAGGAAGACTCATTAACAACCTATGATATGCAGATGATACAACTTTGCTTGCTGAAAGAGAAGAGGACTTAAAGTGTTTACTAATGAAGATCAAAGCGCACAGCCTTCGGTATGGATTGCATCTCAATGTAAAGAAAACAAGAATCCTCACCATGCGACCAATAAACAATATTCTTATCAATGGAGAAAAGATTGAAATTGTCAAGGACTTCATTCTTCTTGGATCAACTGTCAACACTCATGGAAGCAGCAGTCAAGAAATCAAACAATGTATTGCAATAGGCAAATCTTCTGCACAAGACCTTTTTAAAGTGTTGAAGAGCAAAGGTGTCAGCTTGAGAACTAAGGTGCGCCTGACCCAAGCCATGGTATTTTCAATAACCTCATATGCATGTGAAAGTTGGACAGTGAATAAGGAAGACCGTAGAAGAATTGATACATTTGAGTCATGGTGTTGGAGGAGAATATTGAAAGTGCCATGGGCTGCCAAAAGAACCAACAGATCTGTGTTGGAAGAAGTGCAGCCAGAGTGCTCCTTGGAGGCCAGGATGGCCAGCCTTCATCTCTCAATCTTTGGACATATTGTCAGGAGGGCCCAGTTGCTGAAGATGGATATCATGTTTGGTAAGGTGGAGGGTCAGAGAAAATGAGAAGACCCCCATCGAGATGGATTGGCAAAGTGGCAGCATCAATGGGCTGAAGCATGGCAACAGTAGTGAGGTTGGCCCAGGACCAGGCAGTGTTTTGTTCTTCTGTGCACAGTGTCGCTATGAGTCAGTACCAACCCGATGGCACCTAAGAACAACAACAATCCTAATATCCTGGTTAGATTATTATACTGTAGGTACTTAAGACGTTAACTTTTGGGAAGGGGGGTGACGAACACATAGTCACTTTGTGCCATTTTTCTGTGTCCTTTTGGTAAGTCTGAAATTACTTTAAAATAAAAAGTAAGAAGAAAGTTCAAATGGGTTCTAGAATTATTCTACCTCAGTTAAACCTGGCTATACTACCTACTGGCTGTGTGGTTTTAGGCAAGTCCCTTAACTTCTTGCCTCTATTTCCTCATCTTTATGGAATAAAAATAGTATCTCATCTATAAAATTGGAATCAAAATTGTAGGATAGTCATGAAAATTAAATGTGTTTATTCATGTACAGGGCCTGATACAATTTACTCAGAGTTAGTGCTATGTTATTATATGCAGTCATCATAGGAGACTAACTGTATCTTTTGCTGATTTTAGGATTTCTTTCTTTTTTTTTTTTTATCCCTGCTATGATTCTGGATCATTTGTGGTACAGCCATTTCTTTCTCCGATAGTACTCAGACAAAGCTAAACCCAGAACCAGTACCAGAATCAGTGCCTTAAGGATCATCTACTTTTAAAGGAGAATAGCTATCTGCTTAATTGGGATTGTTTCCTGGGAGATGCTTGTATTAGGAAGACAGAAATCATGTTACCAAAGAAAGCCTGGGTCCAATTTGCCCTGTCCTTATTATGGACCCAGACGTTCCTGGGGTTATGGGACCAACAGTCCTGAAAGACTTGGGGCAGTGTGTGGCTCGACATCACAATGACCTGTCTGAGACTCTGATCATGTCATATTTTAAAACATGTTTGTCCAATAAGACTGCAGCACACACACCAGCCCCCATGTCCACTAGCGCCTGACCTTTGATGTCACAATCTGGCTGTTGGTATTTAACTGGCCACAGATGCTCACAAACTAGATGGCAAGTTCAAGAGGACAAGCACAATAAGATGTGGAAGAGAATTGACCATCAACCCAAGATCAAACCAGGGGATGGACCTCAGACAGGCCAGTTCAAGACATTGAGTTCAGCTCCAGAGTCTACCATGCCACACCCTCTAGAGCTGTCACAATTCCAGAGCTTCCCAGTGTTCGAGGACATTAGCCGTCACATCAAAGAAGTGGGAGCCCAGCTAGTAAAGAAAGTCAATGCCATCTTTCAGCTGGACATTACCAAAGATGGTAAAATCATTCTGCAGTGGACCGTTGACTTAAAGAATGGTTCTGGGGACATGTATCTGGGATCGGCCAGGCTCCCAGCAGACACTGTCTTCACAATTCCAGAACCTGTCTTTATGGAGTTGGTTTTGGGAAAAATGAACCCTCAGAAGGCATTTCTTGCTGGCAAAATCAAAGTGAGTGGCAAGGTTCTGCTTGGTCAGAAGCTGGAGAGAATTTTCAAAGACTGGGCTAAACTTTGAGCATGCAAAACTACCAAGGAAGTTAGAACTTCTCTCCAATTATACTGTCAAGTGGAAATCATGCTTAAACTGAAGATTAAAACAAAAAGTATCCAATATTTTTACTCAAATTCTTCCTATTCAAGTTTGATTACTTTTTCTGCTGATGTGTAAATTTACAGCGAGGGTTCTAGAGCAGTAAAGAGTGTTGGAGTTCATCACCAAAAATCTTTGTCTTTTTCTTTTCTTAGCTTCTTTTATGTTGTAATTTGCCAGGATGAAACCCACTCAGAGATTTGAGGGATAGTAACAGTTGAGTTGGTTTTTAATGCTTCTGTGATTGAGTTTCTGGTCATTTGTACTGATTTTGTTTTGAGTGAAAGATGTAATGATCATTGGGCCAGCTTGCATTCCATTTGTTAGCTTGGATTTATAAGACGTCTTTATCACAGGGTGGCTGGGTTCTAAGACAGTGGCACCACAGCTCTGCATGTGGAACACCGGCAGGAGAGAGAATGATGCTGTCAATATATCATATCTTCAGATGGATTTAATTCAGAACCCAGGGAAATTGAAGGGCTTGAGAGATATTCCAGGCTAGTGATTGCTAAACTTGAGCATGTATCAGAGTCATTTGGAAGGCTGGTGAAAGTCTGGCCTCACCTTCAAAGTCTCTATAGGTCTGGGATGTGGGGAGGCATGCGCATTTCTAGCAAGTGCCCAGGTGGTACTGCTAGTACCATCCTTTGAGAGCTGGTTTACTCTGCAGACTTCAGTAATGACCATAATTCAGTTCTAGATAAATGAGATGCAACCATTATTTAAACATCTCCTGAAGACAGATTAGCCCTCTTCAATGAGCCAGTTTGGATGCTTCAATGGTGATAGGAGTTTGTGCATTAAGTATTTTACAAAATCAAAGGTCATTCCCTCCTGAGAGTCTGCTCCACACATTGTGGTGCCAACTGCAGCTTCACTGCATGTGACCTCCTCATGGGTGAGTAACGTACTATTGGTTCACATATGATCAGCATGTGCCTTTACCTAGGTTAAATAGCTACAGCATGGACAATGTGAAACCCATCTGACAGTTACACCCAAATTGCCATACTCACATACGTACCATATGATCCAATCATTCTGTTTTTGGTATTTACTCAAGAGAAAGGGAAGCCTGTATCCATATGTGAATGTTTCTGACAGCTGTATCTGTTTTAGCCCTAAATTAGAAAGAACTCAAATTTGCTTCAGCAGGTGAATGGATGAACAAATTGTGGTGTGACAATACAATGGAATGCTAATCAGCAATAAAAAGGAATGAACTATTGGAGCTCTGGTAGCAGAGTGGTACGAATCGGGCTGCAAACCACAAAGTCAGCAGTTCGAAACTACCAGCTGTTCCACGGGAGAAAGATGAGGCTTTCTGCTCTCATAAAGATTTACAATCTTAGAAACCCTCTACAGGGTCGCTATGAGTAGGAACCGACTCCATGGCACACCACCACCACCATTGATGCACATAGCAACATGAGTGAATCTCAATTATGCTGAATGACTAAGTCAGAGAAAAAGTAAGCACAATCTATATTTTCATATTTATATGAAGTACTAGGAAATGCAAACTACAGTGACAGAAACAGAATCACTGGTTGTCAAGAGATGTGGGCGTGTGGGGGGGGCGGGGAGAAGAGTTGGGAAATACGATAAAGGATCTCAAGGAAACTTGGGGTGATGATTTCATTCATTATCTTGATTATAGTGATTGGTTTCATAAGGATATATGAGAGTGAATCAAAAAGTATTGCTACTAGGGTTCCAGTTCATACATGTGCTAGTTTATTCCAAATAAAACATGTTTAAATATATCTTCACAATCAGTGAATGGCTGCAAACAAGTTCTCTTTGTAATACGTTTACCATCTAGTTGTTGGTAAGTGCCATCCATTTGGTTCTAACTCATAGCAAACCTGTACAGGATTTTTCAGGAGTGGCTGGTGGGTTTGAACCACCAACCTTGTTAGCAGTCCAGTGCTTATCCTACAGCACTATACCAGGACTCTCTTAATCTCATTGGTAGTGATATGCCATGATATCATAATCACCCGTACAGGGTTCCGAAGGCTGTAAATCTTTACGGGAGTAGAAAGCCCCATCTTTCAACTGTGTAGCAGTTGGTAGTTTTGAACAGCTGACCTTGTGGTTAGCAGCCAAACTCATAACCCACTATGCTACCAGGGTGCCTTTTAGAATGCCTTAAAAAAAAAAAAAAAAAAAAGTCCAATCAAAATGGTGGCTTCTGAGGGGAATCTGCTGAACAACTTCAATTCAAGGTCAACTTAGAATACTATGGCAATAGTATTTGGGGACCCTAAAGTGGTAGTTTTGATAGATTTTTCTTAACAGTACAGGATAATCACGGACTTATTTGGAAGTTTTAAGAAGATTGAAAACTGTATTGGTGAAAAATGGCCAGGAAAGTTGCGTCAAAGAATTTTCCCCCCATCATGATAATGCACCTGCTCATTCCTTGAGGGCAGAAACAGCTGTCCTGCAAGAATTTTGTTGGGAACCTTATCCCATTTATCCTACAGCCCTGATCTTGCTCCTTCAGACGTTTTGTTTTCCAAACTCAAAAGAACATTTAAAAGCAACACAATCTGAATCCCTCAAGATGCCCAAACTGCTATTTTGATGTGACGTAAATCAAAGATCACAGAATTCTTTGGAGGAAGGGTTGTTATTCTTAGGTGCTGTCGAGTTAGTTCCGACTCACAGCAGCCATATGTACAGCAGAATGCAACACTGCTTTGTCCTGGGCCGTTCTCACAATTGTTATGTTTGAGCCCATTGCTGCTGCCACAGTGTCAACCATCTTATTTTTTGCTAACTTTCCACTTTACCAAGTTCACGGTTCATCCCCAGGGACTGATCTCTCATGGTAAAGCATGAGAGACAAATTCTCACCAATCTCCTTTCTAAGGAGCATTCTGGCTACACTTTCTTCCAACACAGATTTGTTTGTTCTTTTGGCAACCCGTGGGACTTTCAATATTCTTTAACACCATAATGCAAATGTGTTAATTCTTCTAAGATCTTTCACATGCATATGAGGCAATTGGGTCAGGTGTACCTTAGTCCTCAAATTGTTATCTTTGCTCTGTAACACTTTAGAGAGGTCTTGTGCAGCAGATTTGCTTAATGTCATGTTGTTTGATTTCTTGACTGAGTGTTAATTGTGGATCCAAGCAAGCAAGATGAAGTCTTTGACAACTTCAATCTTTTATTCATTTGTCATTATGATATTTATTAGTTCAATTGTGAGGATTTTTGTTTTCTTTACACTGAGGCTGTAGTCTATCATCTTCATTAGTATTTTAAGTGCTCGTCACTCCCAGCAAGGTTGTGTCACGTGCATACTGATGGTTGAGAAAGAGTTAGAAGGTGAAGAATATGTCAAGAAACAATAAATTCACAGTTTGTTATCTTTGTTCAATTACTAAAGGATTCTTTGATGTGGTACTGTAGGATAAGCACTGTACTGCTAACTGCAAGGTTGGTGGCTCAAGTCCACCAACCACTCCTTGAAAACTCTATACAGCAGGGGTGGTTGTTGTTAAGTGCCATCAAGTCGGTTCCGACCCATAGCAATCCTGCATAGGGTTTCCAAGGAGTGACGGGTGAGCTTGAACCATTGACCTTGCAGTTCAAATGGCTTTGCCGTCTGGCGCATTAACCCATAGCACCACACCAGGACTCCCATAGGGAAGGGATAGGAAATGTTTTTTTCTGCCAAGGGCCATTTGGATATTTATAACATCATTTGCAGGCCATACAAAATTATCAACTTAAAAATTGTTGCTGTTGTTAAGTGCCGACGACTCAGTTCTGACCCATAGCAACCCTGTGTTGGGTTTTCAAGGAGCTTGGAACTGCTGACCTTGTGGTTCAAACCAACTTTGCAATCCAGCGCCTTAATCCACACCAAGCCTACTATATTTGATTAAGCATTTATTAACTCATCTCTAATGTGATGGCTGGAACTGCTCCTCTTTGGTGAGGCATGTTATGTTTGTTACCTGGTATTGATGATGTTGCTACTCGCAACTGCTTTTCCAGGTTTGTGATGGTCAGTCTGGAGCGCAGTTGACTCTGCAATGGTAAGTTTTGAAAAAAAACTCACAGCAGTAAATGCTGAACACAGATGCATATTTCAATGCATGTCTCTTCGAAGTGGGAAATTCATCACTGCTCATGTAATGCTTCTACAACTCAAGCAGTGGGAGGTAGCTTTCAGCTCATCATTGCTTTGTAGCTGAATTGTTTTATGTTATAGGTTATCAGGCACATTAGTTGGTTCCACATTGAATGGTGTAGCAAAGATGTTCAATTCCATTTATTTACTTTTCACATCCTTGAATCTTTCATTAAATGCTTCAATTAATTTCACACATTCACCAGCATATTCAAGTGTCTTAGAAGGCTTTTGTCCTTCCAGAGTGGAGAAATTCACCATGTTATTCCTGTCGAGTTACACTTTCCACAGTCTTAATTTAGCTTCAAACGACTTCACATTTGAAAGCATGGAGCTGAGAAGCTGGTTGGGGCCCTGTGGCTTGACGTTGAACTTGGTAATGTTCACCTTGAACATTAGATCACACCGCCACTTGCCATCATTGAGTTCCCTGACAGGTTATCGCTTCATCTCTGTGAACTGACTTCATCCTGAAGTTCATAAAACCTCATAAGCATGACCTCGCAACTCAGCAACCATACTTCACAATGATAAACAAGATCACCATACTCAGAGCCAAGATGATTCAGTAACTCCTTAAACTTAGGCTGTTAAGCCCTCTGCTTTTGACAAAATTTATGCATGACACTACTATTGACTTCACATTTTGTAGCTGCAATGACTGTGCACATATGGTGTATGATGCAGTGGCATATAATTAAATCAATTGGAGCCAGACCGAGATGATGCTGTTTGATCTTGACAAATGCAATGAACCCTTTTGGCAACCAACCTTGGCTGGAGCTCTATCTGTATTAACTTTTCAAATGTTAGCTCAAGTTTTTTCATTGATTGAAACAAGTCTCTCAAAAAAGTCCTATCTCTTGTAGTGCCATACAT